GAAGTGATTGGCGCGCGTGTTGGTGGTGCACGCGTTGGAGGTTCACGTGTTGGGGCTGAAGTGGGTGGGGCTTGTGTCGTCGGGATCGGCGTAGTTTCCGATGCGTTCGAGATTGGGCAAGGGCTAGTCTCGTTGGTCTCGTATCTACTGTCGTTATCGCTTTGAATCGCCATCAACGCTGCCGTACGAGTCGCTATAGCCGACGGACATTTTGTTGTCACTCGTGTAAGTACCGCTATATGGCATTCACGCTGTATTTACTTTTGACACCTATGGTATTATTGTCGCCTTTCTTTACATCACTTTTGGAGACACCAGGTCCCAGATTCACGTCTTTCTGAGCACCCTTCTTGCCAACTACGTGGTCAAGAGTCCTTGGCGACAAAGAATGACCTACTGCCGCAATGTGTCCAATATTGTTTGCGTTTGTTGGACTAGCGTAAGAAAACTTGACACCTACGCTGTCTGGAGATGTAACTTTGCGCAACTTATTATCCGTCTGATTTTTCGCAGCGTACGCAGTCGAGGATAGCACACTAGTCGAGGTAGTTCCGTACGAGTCAGTCGTGTCAATGTAACGTCCGCCCTTGTCATGTTTGACTCCGTGAGTTGGGTTATTCTGACGCACTACATCAACTTTGGTGGATGCAGCTACAGTTGAAAGCGCAATGGCACTCTGAAAGATAGTCTTGGGGTAAATCATTGTACACGGAAGATGAGAGGACGGGCAGAGGCAACGAAAGTGTCGAAAAAGCTCGAATAAAAAATCCGAAAGTGTCAAAAGCTCGAAAGTATTGAAAAAGCTCAATAGAGCTTTGGAGGCGAGTTTGAAAATGAGATTGCCTGAAGAACACCGCATGAAACACGATCTAAGCATCGAACTTATTCCACTTGCGTCAGTCACATCGAAGACATCGTACTAAATTAGCATCCTTCCTCTAATCTGGTTCACTATGCTACACCGAAAATAGCATTCCAAGAATAAACATCTTGCAGATGGTGGTAATCGCCAAAGTGCCAAAACTTTTTCAAGACACATTCGTCTAGTAAATACCCGCACACCGTATCGCTGTGCAGTGATAGCGCTATAGTAGTTGTCTATTGTTTTTTAACATGTGCAACAGCGTTAATGATTGTCCAATGCAAACATGATGCAAAAAACAATACTTTTAACTTGCTTGTTACGTCTGCTTCTTGTCAACTGCCGTAACAATGTGAAACAAAACAAAAACCTGGATCGGAACTTTGTATGTCTTCGTACTGTTAACTCTTTACGACAGGTATCTGTCTGTTTTTAGCGTAACGTTTGTATACCTTTTACACTTAGTATAATACTTGAGTCGGTTAAAGGCGCACCTTATTCCAGCTATTTCTTTCTTGCTATTGACAAAAGGTGCTCGAATGTATACTTTTTTGCCACAGCTAATTATTTTACAGTTTATTGTTGAGGTGCTACCTATGTTGGGACCGACCGACTTGACCTCAGCCAAGACTGCCCGATAACTCTCCATTGCGTCAATTGCGTAGGAAGCTTGAATGTAGGAAGAATAGTAACTTATTTCAAGCAATCTGACGATTTTTATTGTAGCGAGGACGTTGATTTACAAATACTATGGCATGTTTTTTATAGTAACAGACCGTCTATTTCGAACGTAAGAATTGGCAAGATGTCTGGAGTGCTTCTACCAGGACGACGAAATTCTTCGCCTCGCTGGCTCAAAATCTGCTGGCTCAATCTGCTGGCTCAAAACGTTGGGCTTCACGGGGGACACTCCGCAAAGGGCACGTGGAATTGGTATCCAGCCCGGGGTGTAGACAGTGGCTCTATGATCGCAACAAACGCAGGACACCACACCGATCAGTCCCATTGACCGCTGATGCACCTGGACGGGGCCGATCAATTCACATTCTAGGTAAGTTCGCTTTGTAGGCCGCGCGCGGCGATCGGGTCGGCGACTTGAAGGCTAACGTAGAATAGCAGGCATTAACGGGGGGAAGGATAACTGCGGTCGTCGATCCTCTCCTAGGGGGTTGGTTGACAGGGTTAATGCTTTACGGTTACACGCTGCGCTAGTCCCCCCATAGCGCACGCAGCAGAGGGACTCCCCCCTTGGATCCTGGTCCTCCCGTTGAAGAAACTTTCGGCCCAAGTCGAAGGGGATCGGTTGACCGGCTCTTGGAGGTCGTCGTCTCTTGGTCGTTGTTGCTCGAAAGCGCGAATTGGGAATTGATGCTATGGCATGTTTGCTGTCCATTTTATTTGAAAAACAATAACACCAAAGCACCGGATTCTTAGACGGGATGTTTTCTTATTGCGTCATCTACGGAGACGTTAAAACATGTTGTGCACATTCCGTCTAACACAAGAGTTTTCGACTTGACACTTTACTTGTAAAACCATTGTTCTTCATTCCCTGTTAGCTCAGAACGCGACCACTTTACAATTATATATCCTCTATTCTTGCACATACGAGCAGGACGTCACTTAGAAAGCTGTCAGACGTGATGGTCACAAGTCAATTCCTACAAGTCATATTGTGTATTGCAATATAATTGCTGTATCTGACACGGATGTATACGCGAGAGTAACTTAAGTATGTACCAGCTATTGGAGACACGAGAGCGGTAGGACGCCACATCGGGTACTATGATGCTGAGCTTCATCTGTTTTTGGCCTGCGCGCGCTCTGAAGTAGGAGACCCGCCGAAAGACCGTTGAAAACCAACAGCCGACGGGTAGCACTCATATGATTGACGAAGACGAAGCTCCATGAGGCCTACAGCTCCCGAAGGAGAGACAGCACAGCAAACCTATTGTATACAAAATGAAAAATTCCCTCAGAGAGAAGATTGATGCTATCAGCGTGTGCCTGAGGCACACTCCATGAATAATACGGACACCGCCGGGAAGACGATGCTGGAACGAGTGTTAGAGGGGGTAGAGACTACGCCCCCATCAAGTGTCATCATTGGGAAGAAGAATCAAGTTCCAGATATGCAAATTGACTTCAGACCCAAAAGGTCAAATGCGTCACGAGAAAAAAGAGTGGCTGAGGAAGCTTGGTCATATTCGTAGTTAAAGTAGCTGAAACGATGTATATTTGCAATAAACTTACTGTGTAACGAACATTAGAGATAGCGGCAGACAATTCTATTGGACGTAATTAAGGTATGTGTCGTAAATCTTAAGTCTTGTTAGCAATGGTCGAGTCCGATGATTGTACGGAGCTAGTCACCTGCAGATGACGTCCCAGCTCCCGTCGTTCTCTAGCCCAGTGCAGATGAGCTTCGGCCACTATGCTTGCGCGCATGTACATGCCCTAAAATATGTTCTAACGTCTCCGCCCAAAATGCTTATTTTCATTTTTGTGCCGTTAATACATTTCTGTCGGCTACAAAATAAGGCACGCTTCGTGAAGTTGTAAAGGAGTGGATGCGCAATCAAAAATTGACGTTTAATGCGTCTAAAGCCCTGTACCTCTGGCAGTTGGTGTCGTATAATGATTCGTGCTGTCTTAAGGGCAGGCACTAGCCTGTGCAGCCTTAGCGCATGCGAAAGTGTAACAGGGTTACACAAGGTGTGAATTGTTATACACACCTGCCACACCAACGTAGTAAGGCTGTACTTTGTCGGTGTGACCGTGCTAAGGTACGAAGGGTTGCATCGTAGCAGAGAGCCACGTGTGCACTATACTTAAATAAGTTTAGTAATTATACATGTTTGCAAATTAAGAGGCTACCATGCCAGTTAATATGTGACGAGCACTAAGTTTAGAGTAGGTGCTGATAAATTATAAACATAAATAAATTAGGTTTAGACCTGCTTTGAATAGCACAGGGGCTAAGGCATTCTTTTCCGTTCAAAGAAAGTGATTTTTTAAAACTGCTCTTTTGGAAACGTTGTTGCTTGACAAAAAAAAGGCGCAAGCTTGTAAAGCTAGCCTAGAAGATTTTACATTAAGACATATAAGCTCTTGCAGTTTGTTTTCCTTCTGCACGTAGTGTATAAGTAGCTAAGCTACAATAGTTCGGCTACACCTAGTTGCACTCGTAGTCAACACCGCACCTGAATTAGCGATTACTTCTCAGTGTGAGAATAAATTGTTGTCAATGATATTTCTGCAGAAAACCCTTGGCCACAAGGCGTGCCTTGTATCGCTCGACAAAGCCTTCGATTGTTTCCTTCACCTTGAACACCCACTTGCTGCTGATGGCTTTCCGTCCACACGGCAATGGGACAAGCTCCCACGTTTCATTCTTGTTTAGCAACTCGAACTCGGAGTCGCATGCTTCGCGCCACTTGCTTGCATCATCGGATTCCATAGCCGACTTGAACGTGATCGGCATTTCCCCCACTGAATCCATGACGTACGCTGCTTCGTAGCTTGGACATTCTTGAGCTGTTGCTGACATCTCTTCCAGACCTTGATGCCGCTTGGCTCTTGGAACTTGTGCAGCTTTCTCCAACTACTGCGTTCGTTAATGTCTCTTGCTGCCGGAATCCATGTCTTCATCCCGCGCAGTTCTTCTTCTTTTTTTTCTTCTTGTTGTGAATCTTCATCCGTAGCTTCTTCATCGTCTTGAAGATCAACAGGGGCTTCTTCGGGTGCGCCATTATGTTTCCCTCCGTCGAAAACATTCTCCATGAACTGCATCACGGCTCACCAGTACACGACCACTGTCTAGCTCTTCGAATCGATACGCTTTTTCATGATCTGAGTACCCGATAAAGCGACAGCGTACCGACCGAGCATCAAACTTGGTGCGTTTTTCCTTGGGAACCGTGACATACGCGTGGCATCCAAACACCTTCAGGTTTCCCAACAGCGGCTCTTCGCCAGTCCAAATTTGGTGCGGCGACTTGTCGAGGCTGATTGCGCGTGAGGGACATCGATTGCGAAGAAACATGGCAGTCATGACTGCTTCGCCCCAGTACTCCTTCGACAGTCTGGCATGCTCCATCATGCAGCGCGCGCATTCAACAAGCGTCCGGTTCATCCGTTCAGCAACTACATTGAGCTGAGGGGTGTAAGGTGGTGTAAACTTCTGCATAATTCCACGAGAGCTACAAAACTTTGCCATTGCTTGCAAAGTGTACTCACCACCATTATCACTGCAGAGTGTCTTCACTCGCTTGCCCGTTTGCGTCTCAGCAAGTGCTACAAAGTCAACAAACTTGGAAGCTACTTCCGACTTGTTTCGGAGCAAGTACACCATACAGAAGTGTGCTCGTCGATAAACGTGACAAAGTAGCGTTTTCCACTGAATGTCACCGTGTGCATAGGACCACACATCGCTGTGGATGACCTCAAGTACTTGCTTTGCACGATTTGGTGACGATTTTGCGTAGCTGAGTCACGTTTGCTTACCAAGCGAGCACCCGTCACACGTCCCCCACGGCTTCACTGACTTCAAGTTGATGCCAACACCATGGTTTTTCTTGCCGATTGCATCAAGACCGCCATGACCAATATGACCAAATCGAAGGTGCCAGAGGTACCAAGTGGTGTTCCCATGGCATCCCATCGAAATAGTCACATTTACCTCATTCACTGACATCGGTGTCATGCAGAGCTTGAACAGACCTTTGCCTTCGCGAGCTCCAATCTTCCATTTCAAACCGTTCGTTTCAGCATAGCAACCCTCGCTTTCAAAGGTCACGGCGCCGACATCCTTGGTAAATCGACCAACCGAAAACAGGTTTCACGATAGCTTGGGGATATGCCACACGCCAGTGAGCACACCCTTCTTGATTCCACGCGGAGTTTTCATTGACATCACAATGTCTCCAGTCCCGATAGCTTGCATCACCCCATCGTCCGCGAGATGTACGCCCACCGGAGAGATTTCCTTGTAGTTTTTCATGAACTTCTTGGTACTTGTCATGTGCTGCGTCGCTCCAGAGTCGATCAGCTACACGTCACTTGATTTGGAGATGCTGTCTCCAACCAAAAACAGGAACTCGCCAGTGTCATCTTCGACCTGCGCGATGTTCGCTCGCTGCGGCCTTTGCCACTCCGTATTTCCACGGATACGCACCGGACACTTGGCGATCCAATGTCCGTGCTCCCCACAGTAGTGGCAGACCCCACCAGTCTTTGGCACCTGCCGTCCTTTGCATCTGCCGCTGTCGTTTGCCATGAACGCTTGACCTTGTGCGGCGTTGTCGAACCCGCTACCTTGTTCCTTGCGCTTCATGTCTTCGTGCAGTAGACGAGACGTCACCAGCTCCCACGTTAGCGTGTCCGCAAGTGACTCCAACGCCGTGATCAAAAACTGGTACGTGTCGTCAAGACTCCCAAGAATCGTGATCACTAAGTCGTTCTCGCTAACCGGAGCACCCACAGCGTCGAGCTGCTCCGCTAGCGTCTTGATCTTGTCGATGTGTCGGAGAACATCATCACCTTCTTCCATCCTGGTCGTAAAGAAACGACGACGAAGAAAGAGCTTGTTTGCCAGGCTCCTCTTCTCGAAGTGTCCCTCCAACCACAACCAAGCATCATGCGCGCCACTTGATGATCGAACCAGTGGCAGCTGCGAATCCTCCATCGCCAGACAGATGATCGTTAGTGCCTTCCGAGACTTGCGCTTGTAGGTCCCTTGGTCCAGCGGGCTTTTCAGGTGTTCAAACTTGATTTCACCACTTGTCACGTCTCAGAGGTGCCTCTCTTCCAGCGCCATTTGCATCTTGAACTTCCACGTATGGAAGTTCGTGCCGTCGAACTTGTTAATACGGCTCGATGCTTAGGCGTCCATGGTGGCAGCGAAGGCTGAGGCGAAGAAGGCGGAGATTGCGGCGGAAAAGGCGGAGTCAGCGGGGCTTGGGCTCATAGCCTAAGTTTTAAAGGTCAAGTGAGCATTGTTTAGCAGAATGCAAAGCGATATATATTAGGAATTAGTTCACTAAAAGCTACCTCTAAGCCTAACGTTCTAGAACCTTCTAGAACCTACAGTGACGTCATTGAACGACGTCATCGAGTGACGTCATTGCCGCCGTCGGACAACCGCCGCCGGAAATTCGCCGTCGGACAAGTATACCGGTAACTACCGGTATACCAACTTACCCATATAAACAGAAGACTTACCGCGGACGATCTTCGACAACCGGTACCTTACCGGTATATCAGTACCTAAGCAGATAAACCTGCCGACTTGACAGCACCTCTTGCTGGTCAAGTCGCTTCCT